AGAGAGAGAGAGAGAGAGAGAGAGAGAGAGAGAGAGAGAGAGAGAGAGAGAGAGAGAGAGAGAGAGAGGAACAAATAACCACCACAGAGCAAAACAACACACAAGATCACAAGTAAGCGGCCAATCATGGATGGCTCCCATTACGCAGGGTGAGCAAACGGTCTCCCATAACATGTCAAACAAATATCATCCAAGCTAGGGCATAGTCACACCAGCGCTTTTCTCGAGCTAAAATAGTACACAAAGACATGTCCTCTTTGTATTTGCATCTGTGCATTCTTTGAATGTCTTTCTTCTGTCTTCTTTAATTAGATCTCGATGAAAGATCGTTCTTCGAGACATACATTAAAATTTAAAATTGGAAGGATGCAGAGAAGATTAGTATGGGCCCTGCCCCTGTGCAACAAGGGTGACACACATAAATTGAGAGAGGGTCCAAATTTTTAGGTTGCAAGAGCACAGCCACAAATAGCTGTTGATAAGCCGCTCACACGTTCAAATACTGCTCTATCCACTAATGTGAGGGGGATCTCTGCCATTTCAAAAGGATTAGACTCATTAGAGAGAAAGGATATCATTCATCTCACCAATCCCCACCACACCTATACTCAAAAAAAAAAAAAAAAAAAAAAAAAAAAAAAAAAAAAAAACCCAAAAAAACGAGTCCTTATGGCCCCGACTCCATATCCATACCTATACCTCCCATGTCTTCTTGAGAAACTCTAATAAGGGGCAGAGTAGATACGGGCAAATCTAATACGGGGTAGATTAGACACAGACAAAACCAAAAAGGGGTAGATCAGATACAGACAAATATGACAGGGCGTGTGGGCTGGATATGGCTGCTCCGCTTGGCTGCTCCGCGTGTGGTCCAGGCGGGGTCTCCATCGATGAATGCAATCCGTCGCCTTGGCAGAGGGGTAATGCGGTGGGGGCGTTCTGACGGGGCCTTAAAAATAAAGGGAGAAATAAAAGGAAAAGAATCAGAATGAATGGACTTGGCGCCTTTGTGGAGAGACTTGGACACGACGGTCTTCTGCACGGGGGCAAATCGCACACTGACTCCCCGAGCTTTTGAAACCCCTATTGAGGGGCCAGGTCAGGTTGGCATCATTTCCTTTTCTTTTCTTTTTTGGGTGGTAGGGGGTGGTGGGGGGTAATGCTCCAATCTATTCGTGGGGAGCAACACGTGCTGGGAACCGAGCCCAGCGTCCCTCATGAAAGTACAAAGAACAATTTAAACCGCACGTGGTTAATAAATAGGTGGTGTCATTTTCGCCGAATTTTTCACCGAAACTGCATATTGCCTTGATTTTTGGCTTTTTTTTTTCCCCTTGATTTCCTTTTTTTGTGCGATGTGCATGTGCTTAGGGTATCTCATGTATTCAGTTGGGAGAACTTTGGACATATATGGACCATTAACGAAAAATTTGGCGAAAACACCAGATGGCAAATTCATTAAATGCTTATTTGAATTAGGAAAGCATTTTCGTGTTTTTATAACTTTTAAAAACTTTTTTCTTGTGTTTTTGAGTTTTTTACTTTGTTTTCTTTTGCCTGTCTACTTTTTTCTTAATGTTTGTATTATTATAGTATTATGAGCCTGCATTTGTTTGCGCTGAAAAAAACCGAATTTTCGTCCTTCCGTTAACCATCTCTCTAATTGTGACCAGATTTGTCATGAATCATCAGATGCAGTCAGAAAAGCCCTTGTGTGCATTTGACTGAATCTGGCTGTGATAATGACCAGAATCATCAGATTCAGTTAGAAAAGTCCTACTGTGCGTGTGATTGTATCTGGGCATAATTTTGACCAGAATCGTCGCATTCGTTCTGAAAAAGTCCTAAGTGTGAAGGCAAGGCACTCCAACTTTGCTTGGTGGTAATATTGGCGCCGAATTTTGTGGTATTCAATTCCGCCGCACTCGCATTAGAAGTTGAATCCTAAGTGTGAAGGAGAGACCAAGATCCTTTCCATTACGGCCAAATAACCCGTCTGTCCATTGTGGACCTTCATTTCCCTCTCCTCTCCCCCTGCAGGCCCCCATCTTCCAAATCCCTACAAGGTCATGTAGAGTACAGACGGGATGTAAGCTGGAGGGATATGGCCAGAAGGACCCTCAGCTGCTGATAACTACACTAACTAATTAGGACACATCATCATCATCATCATCGATCATCATCGATCATCATCACCACCACCATAGCTTTCAAGCATAGATATCATTAGGGAAATCATACCTGTTCATTGAGCAGACGAACTTTGCTCCCCGCATATCGTCTATATTCCTCGAAAATTGCGGTCAGGTTCCATCGCTGCAGCTTTCTTAGGCAGCCGATCACCGTTCCTGCAATGTATTACCCCACCCCCACCCATCTTCACCCCTCCATGCCCCCTCCGCTTCCCCTTCCCCTACCCCTCTCCCCTCCCCCTCCTTCACCCCTCCCCGTGCCCCACCTCTTCCCCCCTCCCTTCGCCCCCCCTTCCGCCCCCCCTCCGACAACAAAAAGCATGTGCAAACATAAATGGTAAATATTAAAATAGCTTTGGAAATAAAGTGAACTGACGTATTCCGTTTTTTGCACTCCGCATTTCAGCCAGGAATGAAGAAACCGTGGAACCAAGACCACCTTTTCCACTCTATCCCGCTTTACAGTGTTTACACTAAGCACACCACCCGGCCGTCAAAACCACAAACACACACACAAACTACATCCTATAGACACTTCCATCACAGCGAGATTAGAAAAACACCATTCTTCCATCCGTCTCCTAAACATGCTGCGTGGCTGGCCCCAAAAATCTACAGTAAGAAGACGACGAAGACGACAACGAAGAAGAAAAACAACAACAGCCACAACAAGAACAACCGGCTGAGCCCAAAAATCTATAGCAAGCAGATAAAGAAGACGACAACGAAGAAGAAGAACAACAACAGCCACAACAAGAAAGACTGGCTGACCCCAAAAACCTATAGCAAGCAGATGACGAAGATGACAACGAAGAAGAAGAACAACAACAGCCACAACAAGAACGACTGGCTGACCCCCAAAACCTATAGTAAGCAGATGACGAAGACGACAATGAGGAAGAAGAAGAAGAAGAAGAAGAAGAAGAAGAAGAAGAAGAAGAAGAAGAAGAAGAAGAAGAAGACGACGAAGACGAAGACGAAGACGAAGAAGAAGAAGAAGAAGAAGAAGAAGAAGAAGAAGAAGAAGAAGACGACAAAGACGAAGACGAAGACGAAGAAGAAGAAGAAGAAGAAGAAGAAGAAGAAGAAGAAGAAGAACAACAACAACAACAACAACAACAACAACAACAACAACAAAAACAACAACAACAACAACAACAACGACCACCATCAACCACCTTCAACCACCATCACCACCACCACGACCACATGCAGAGGAAAAAAGGAAACTCCTCACCTGTCCTGTGCCGCCCAAGATTACACATAACATGCAGAGGATAGTTCTGAGGCAGTAAAATGATCTGTAGCACAAAAAGAAAGGACCACCCCACCATAACCATCCACCTTTAATACACTTTACCCCCGCCCCTCCCACAAAAAAGGGGGCAAAAAAAAAAAAAACTAACAAAAAAGAAGTTTAGAAAACCTAGGCTGTTTTTCCGGGCACCCAACTTGTGCCCCGATACACGCCCGGGAGCCCGGCCGAGCATGAACCCCGGGCAGAGTCCCAGGCAACCCCAGCAGGAAAAAAAAAGTCCGGAACAAAAAATGTATTGTAAAATTGCAATATAAACGGCTTTTGGCTGAGGGTCACATCAGAATTCCTCACAGAATCGGGGATAAAAGAGAAAATAACGGAATCCCACTAAGGCACCCCCCTTTAGCCCCTTTAAACCAATTTATGCCCCCCTTCCCCCCCCTGGACAGCCAAC